GGATACCATGTTGTTAGTTCGTGTTCTAATCGTATTGCAGCCTTATCTCTTCATATGCTTTCCAATCTCCTCGCTAATTATCGCTTAAACTTTATATCTAGCCAAGCACTAGTCATTTCATTTACCTCCTTCTTCTAGATTGGTCGATGTATCGAGCCGATGCCATGAGTCAGTGACAAATATTTGCCCATCGCCATGGCCGTTAAAGAGAAGACGCAGTGCTGTGGCCGAAAATGGTGTGTTGGCGATCCTTGTGGCATCGTGTGCGCGGCAATCACTTGGTAGGGATCTTTTTTTTTCTCCCTCGTTTTTAATTATTTGTTGCATTCTTAGATTTTATAATAAAATTATTTTTCAACCTAACATAGATCATCAAGCTGTGTTAACTGTAATTCAAACATTTAGGCTGTTGATTTTATACAGTCAGTTCGTTGTGTTTCTTGTACTCCTACACTCATATGAAGAGCACTGGCTACACACCGGTCTTAATTTTTTGTTGTTTGAGATGCTTACAGTTCTTGCGCTATTGAGCCATGCTAAGGTAAACTTTCAATGCTAAGGGAATTTCAGAGCATTGTTATTTTGCATTTCAGACAATGCTTACTGATCCTGGTTCTGTGCCAAAAGGCAACGCTACTGAGGAGAATATAGAGCGATTACAAGCGGCAGAGGAGTTTAAGGTTTGAGGGCTTCCGCTATCTATTTAGTTCTTAATTTTTTGGCTGTTTGCGGGCTTTCTTTGAAATTTGGTTATTTTCCTTATAGCGGGATGTGAGGTGCTAAGTGGTTTTGTGTTAAACTCCTATATTCAAATATGAGAATTTGACAAGTCGCTCAGCCAAATACACACAAATGAAGGTTCAAATGAATAGCAAACTTAGGTTTGGGTAGCTGGGAGAGCAATTCCAGACTTGTAAAATTGTTAGTGTTTGTATATATGAGTTATTGATCGCACGTATGTTAGACTAATTCTTATTAATTCAAACGTAAACTACTGGAAATCACGAAATTGATCTCAAATATTATATCTGACCATAGCGTGGAAAAGTGACGACTCAGTTATACGTCAGATCGACTCTGAGGTACAACTAAGTGGCCTTCTGCTTTGAAGATCTGGATGAGGATAATTTTGTCTCAAGACACTCAAGCTCTGAATAAAGGTCTCTATAATTTGAAGAACCGCACAAATTCAAATTACTGTTCAAATTTATTGAGGCTCTGTAACTTTCGAATCTTCAGGTGATCTACAAATGCCAAAAATGCTGCAGTATCAAACCTGATCGAGCCCATCATTGCTCAGTTTGCGACCGATGTATTCGTCGCATGGACCATCATTGCCCCTGGGTAAATAATTGCGTGGGCGAGGCAAATCAGAAGTATTTCGTGCTTTTCACAGTAAGTTTTTTTTATATTCATCATAAATTGGTCGTGGGTTTCTTCTTCAATGTACGATAATTTAATTTCACTTTTCATGTTTTTACTTGAAGATGTTTTGATCTTTTCGTTTTTAGATGTATATTGCACTACTGTCATTTCATGCTCTTTATTGGGGAATTTGGCAGTTTGTGCTATGTGTTGGAAAAGAATGGCACAGCTGTAGCAATCTGGGTCCACCTGGCACAACGCTTATGTTGGTGAGTCGTTTTTGTTAGATTTCTTATAGAAGACATCATAAGCTGTACTCAATTGATCAATCTTTAACCTACCGAAGTTAGCTGTTTTTCTCAACGGCTTTGTAAGCTTTGTAAGGCTGTCTAGAAAGATGTTTATAATAAAAAGCTTTGTGTTTTTTAGCTATTATTCTTTGATGTATCATGATAAATTAAAGTTAGCAAGATATCGATTCTGAATCATTCCAGATCTTTCTTATGTTTGAGGCAATTTTATTTGCCATATTCACGTCGGTGATGTTTGGTACACAACTTTCGGCAATTTGCAGCGATGAAACTGCGATTGAATCGTTGAAGCGGTAAGTTTTGGCATATTTTTATAAATCAGAATGTTTTGAAAGACAACCAATCTTCTCTGTGAAATGTTTTCTATAGCTATTTAGTTTTCGTGGTAGAACTTTTGCGTGGGTTTTTGGAACCTGCTTTTGTTATGGTCATATCAAATTATTCAAAAAAA